ACGCAGCTGCGCAGGAATGTGCGTTCTGCAGTGCCTGAGCAGGACTGTGGTCAGAACTGACTTGACTTGCTAAATATTGAAAAGCGATTTTGAAACCTCGTTTCTCTAACTAAAAAGTCCCGCTGGCCTTTTAGCCTGTTGGGAATACTGATTGGGGGTACCTGGTGGCCATAGGCCAGGCATGGCTAAGTCTGTCCCATCATCCTGCTTGCCATCACTGCCTTAGGATGAGCAGAGAGCACTACATGTAAAAGAAACCCTGTCTCACTTTGCTTAATGTTAGATAAAGTGAAGCTTCCCTGTATCGTAATGACTTCTCGTTGCCTGTATCAGCAGCGGTGTGATGTGTACTGCGCTTGGGCTGTAAAGTCTTAGAGAAAAGCTAAAGCAGGGGGAGCAGAGTCTGTTACACGCTGCGTTTGCTCTTCTTCATTCTGTGTATCCATTCAGGTCCTGCAGTACCGGACCCGATGTCGAGAGTTGGAGCAGCAAGTGGGAGCAGGAGGGGTGAGTGTTACCAGAGGGTTAAAAGAAGGGCTGTAAGTTTGTCTGTCAGTGTTTTGTCCAGTTGCCATTCTTGGAGCAGCCACTAGTCCCAGAAATGCCAGTCCAGAAAACCATATCAAGAAGGACTTTAGTTTTGTGAAGGAGTGCTTTATTGCTGGAGTAACATTTAGTCCTAGGTCTGTTAGATCATGTGGCTGTCTCTGAAAAAGAATTGGTTGAAACACAGTATTTTGGAAGGCAAGAATGCTGGTGTTCAACATAGAGGGCTGGCTCGCTGCTTTTCTTTCTGCTTCATGGCTAAAGTAAACCTAGGAAATGAGGGGTAGGAGAGTAGGAGAGCATTCCCAGGCTTCCAGTCAAAGTGAGCACTCCCAGGCATGAGCAGAGGTTGCTGAGCTGTGAGAGTGCAACAGGAGGAGACTGTGGAGAGCTACTCATATTGAGTGACACCCTTCCCCTCCTTCCCTTTCCATAGTCACAACACAGTTGTGCCTGGAAGAAGCCACAAGCTCCTGAGATACCAAACAAATGGAGGGGAAAGTGATGGATGCAAACAGTAGTGAAGGAAACACTAGAATTTGACTAAACATTTCCTTTCTTCTTAAGGGTTCCCTTCCAGGCAGGTGGGAAGGCACAGAGGACCACAGCCTGGAGAAAGCACTGCTTCAGGTAGAAGAGGAGCATCAAAGGTATGGGGAAGAAGTGTTCCCTCATAGCTGGTATCCTGGATGCTCATGGATGTGAGGGAAAACATGTCAGTGCTACCTAGTGTCCTCAAGGGAAGAGGTTGGACGAGCCACTTTGACAGGGGACAGGTCCACAGTCTGTTTTCTGGGGTGCAGTGACAGTGTTGTGTTATTCCAGGTGACCTCTAAAGGTCCCATTCCAGCCTAAATTATTCTGTGACTCAGTAGGTGAGTGACTCGGGACAATGCTAGAGAAAGATGATGCATCCAAGTGATCAGGCAGCACAAAGGGGAGACAAGGCCTAACTGAGAGCATCGTCAAAGCTGGAGACGAAGGGAGAACCAAAACTGTAGGAGAAGCAAATGAGTTTGCCATCACAGAGACATCTTACTTAATCCTAGAAGGCACTTTTCCTAGCTCTCAGTTTGACAACAGAGTCAGTTTTGAGGGAGCTGAGAAATCACAGGGATGCTGCTTGTAGATAGCAGGGGGGTTGGACTGGATGATCTTTCAAGGTCCCCTGGAGACAAAGGGAGAACCAAAACTGTAGGAGAAGCAAATGAGTTTGCCAGTTTGCCATCACAGAGACGTCTTACTTAATCCTAGAAAGCACTTTTCCTAGCTCTCAGTTTGACAACAGAGTTTTGAGGGAGTTGGGAAATCACAGGGATGCTGCTTGTGGATAGCAGGGGGGTTGGACTGGATGATCTTTCAAGGTCCCTTCCAACTCCTAGCATTCTGTGATTCTGTGTGACTCTGTGATTCAGTGACCTCGTTGCTGTTTCTCCCTTTCCAAGGGGTGAGAATCTAGCAGAAGTGAACGCTGTCCTGCGGGAGCACCTCAGTGAAGCAAATGAGATTAATTCAGCCCTCAAAGAAGATGTTGGAAAACTGACGGCGGATTGGATGAGGGCCCGGGAGGAGCTGGAATTGAAGGAGAGCGAATGGCGCCATGAACGTGAGGTAAGGATAAGCTATGGGAATGCCAGAGTGGCATGAGAATGCATTTTATTTCTGGCATAGAGGACTCACTGTGTGAAAGCTGTGGCTCTGGTGAGGATGTATTGGTGTTGTGTTGAGTAGCAGACCACAGGGGTGTGAGCTGCAGGAGTGTCTCCAAATTGTGGGGATGGAAGATGCCCACCTGTTGTGGCCATGCTGCTGGGTCTTAAAGGCACGTGCTTGCTGTTGCTGGGCACTGTAGGGCGGTCACACAGGACCTCTTGTCTTAAATAGTTCCTAAATCTCTGTCTAGAGCAGTGGAGACTGGAGGGGTCTGTGTGTTTTCACATTCAGAGCAGCCAGCAGCAGGATGAGACCGGCCTCCCTTCCCAATAGCAAATCTGACACTGGTCTTGGAGGTGCTTGTTTTCCTCCTCCTCCACCAAGACTGTGAGACACCTCTGCAAGGCGAGATGATGAATCACGGTTGGTTTGCTTTGCTGATACCCACTCCTGCTGAGAAGCGTGGATGTTCCCTTCTTTGAAGTCGGGGGGCAGGTCCTGTGGGCACTTCTCTGGTGCCTCTCCAGTCCTTGATGCCCCTGTCGTTCTTAAAGGAGATCTGCTGAGGGTGATTCTGCTCTCTCCTATCTGAAAGACTTGTACAGTGGCAGCGAAGGCTGAACTGGCATTTTTTCTTTTTGTCTTTTAGCTTTATGACAGCTACATAAGGGGTGAACACAACCGTCTGCTCGGCCTGTGGCGTCAGGTGGTGACCTTCCGCCGTCACTTCCTGGAGATGAAGACGGCCACTGACCGGTGAGCAGAGGTCAAGGCTACATCTCTTGCAGAAAAAAATGTAGCTTCCCTTCACACCTGCTTTTTGAGCCTTAAATCTCACTGGCTTCCTTTTCCCACTGCTCCTAATGGGAAGATCATTCATGGTTTTTATTTCCTTCTCATTTCCAGATCACATTTATTCTGGTCAGTTTGCATCCATGTACCACCGTAGTTGAGAGAAGGAATAGCTTCTCTACCCTGTGGCTGCATTTCTACAATTTGTTTTGCTTAGTTTGATGCCTCCTTTTCATGTTTGTTTTCTTGTTCTTGGGCTCTCTGAGGTTCCTTTCTCACAGTTGCCTTCTATGTGGACAAAAATAGTGTAGCCATAATAGTACATTCTTCTGGGGTCAGCATGCAAGTTCAAACTCCGGGTTACTGTCAGCCATTTATCTTACTTGACTGTAAGCCTTCCTTACTGTGTCGAGCATGCCTGACCTATATTGAATTCACGTGTAATTTGTGCTTTTAGTTACAACATTTTAGGCTCATTCTTCCACCACCTTCCTGAAGTGTTTATTATGTAGAGATTGTCACAAGCCTCTTAGCAGTCCGAGTGCTGATAATAATAGGTTGCTTAAGGCTGATCCCCTAGGTATAAAAGCTTGTATTAATGATAACTTGCAGGAGCAGCCATTAATAAGAGTAATTGGAGGTTCTTGAAGCCTTCTGGCTCTGCCATGTATTTCTTCTTGTCTCTGAGAAGAAAACAGGCTCATTGCTCAACTATCCAATAGACTTGCTCAGTTGTCAAGATGAGTCCTGATCCCAAAGTGTCAGATGAATGATTTGAACCCATCTTTCCTACCAGCTTTTACTGTTGTGCATATACGTGCTTCAGAAGTGAGTCAGCTGATAAAGACAGCGGTGTGAACGTTTCTCTCTCTTTATTGTTCTTCAGAGATCTGTCAGAGCTGAAGGCCGAGCAGCTGAGGCTTTCTGGCTCTATTCTTGCAAACTGCTCCCACCTGCACTGCAGCGTACAGCTCTGGGAGTCTGTCACTGTGGGCAGACTTGTCCTAGAGGATCAAGCACAGCAGGAAGAGGAACGGGAAATGAACCAGAAGACTCAGGAAGTGATGTGCCTACAAGTCAAGGGGGACCTGGAGAGGAAGGAGCTTCAGGACAGGTAAATGTGTTTTAAACTTTGCTATTACCGACATCATCTTTTGTGGCTGCTTCTTGGATACGTAGGTGGGCTGTGTTCACATTTAAAACACACACAGTTCTGCACAGCCTTGTTTCTGTCCCTGGTTGAACTATTGCCTTCAACAGAAAGGGCAGAAAAAACTGTCTGACTGATAGAAGCTTTTCTGAGTAAGACAAGACTGGGAAAGAGGTCGCATTAGACAATGTGTTGCTGATAACTGATCCTTGGTGAGCAATTGAGATCAGTATAAACAACCCTGTCTCTTGTACAGCCCTTTTGCTACCCAGGGCTGTGCTAAAGGAGTAGGGAGGAATTTGCCCATGACCTTCATAAGCAATGTAGCACCTCTGTACTGACCTTTCCTTGCAAGACTGAGTGCAGACGGCCTTTGGGGCAAGAAGTGGCATTTTGCAACATCAACCGTATGAACCTGTAGAGATGAACACTGCCTTTGCTGTATTTTTGGGGTTGAACTTTCTCTGCTGTGCTTCTGGAGCTGCTCAGCTCTTTAACACGATGGTGATGGTGTGCAATGCTTTTGGAACGGCACGTGGACCTTCTCTTTTCAGGGTGATGGAGCTCTCAGCCTTGCTTGTACAGTCTCAGAAGCAGAATGAGGAGAAGGAGAAGACCATAAAAACACTTAACGACACTGTGGAGATTCTAGTATGTTTTACCTTTATCTGGGAGACGGCTCAGTGTTTGCTCTTCAGCCTTAGCACAGAGGTGTGGCTTCCTCAAGAGATGGAGTGGCAGAGATGCTAGCTATGGGAACATCAGGCACATTGCCAAAACACTCCTTGCGTTTTTGGCACATGTGGGCTCAGTCCAGGTGCAGGCAATGGCAGGGGAGCTGCAGGCAACTTGAGTGTCTTCCTCAGGGGGGCTGCACCAATGCTGTCCTCCTGTGACTTTAAGTATCTTTAAGTTCCTTGGCACTGACAGCTTCATAGCAGTCCATGAAAACTTGCTGTCGGTCTTTCTCTTCTTAGTTTTAGCAGAGAAGAAATGGAATAGATAAGAGAAGGAATCCCTGGGGCTGAGGCTTATTGGCATGACAATGCTACTGAGTATGGGAATGCTGCAGAGGGGAGCAGCTCTTTCCTGCCCACCCTTTCCTTATTCTGTTCTCAGGAAGCAAGTCAGTTAGAGAAGGAATATGAAGATTCCTTGACCAAAAGTGCCAAAGAAGCAAATCTTTCTCTCCAAAAGCTGATAAAAGATATAACTGAGGTGAGTACAGTGTTGGGACCACATCTGTGTAAATTTGGTTCAAAAGTACTTGAGGAAGGCAACAGACCAGGCCATGGAATAGATGTCAGTGTTGTATACTGTTTATGTTAACTGCTGCTGGCTGTTGAGTTTTTATACCACTTTTCTGACATAAAACCAGTTCTGACTTCCGAGCTGGCTGTCCTGTGACATTTCAGCTGAGTTGCTAGAAGTGTCAGTACCGTTGCCTTCGCTGTCTTGCTAAGGTCTCTCTTGGACTGTGCTTTCTGAGTTGGCCACTTGACATTTGTGTTCCAGTGTTGCTTGGAGGCTTCCCCCAGCCTCCTGGAGAAATTGCTCTGTTGTTCTTCACATTGTTATTAAAGGTCAGTGACCGTGGCACTTGCCAACTCTGCTCCTTCACTCTACATTCACTGACCATTATTGTCTCCACAGAATCACAACTGTCTAGGTTTAAATTTAACTTAGTCCTAAACTTCTCTCTATGGAAGGGGGTTTAATTATCAAATCTTTTACACAGCCTCTCACAAAGTCAGTTCTTTCCCTTTACATAGACATTTTGATCCTCTTGTGCTGCTGCTCAGAGTAATTATAAACATTAGCTTTTCCATTGCTGTTTTCCAGTATTCATCAGCTTCCTTCTTCCCTGGGCAGCATTAATGTTTCCTTTCATTGCTATTTCCATTGATGTGCTGGTGCTCGTGTATGTGGCTCTAAGAAGCTGAAGGAGACCCAAATTATTCATGAGAACAAGACATTGAGCATTCAAGCAGCCTCCAGCCACTTCATGCTTGCTTCTTGTCGTTTATAGTAGCTGTATTCAGAAATCAGTGGAGTACTTGTGGCCACAGGGACAAAACTTCTTGACTGAAGAAATGAGAGAATTGAGTTTTAATGACTAGGGTGAAGTGGGAGAAAAAGGAGAAATGGATAAAGAAAACCAAGTAGAATGAGCAAAGAGGTAACAGCTTGATGTGGGCTTTCAGGTCGTGTTAGAAGACAGTGACAGTGTGGTCAGCATTACCTGCACTGACAGTTCCCAGTATGCAGAGTCCAGCAACATCCTCTCTTGTCTGAGCTCCTTTGATGCAGAGCATGCCCTTGTGTTGGTTCAGGAAGCACTGGCAAGGAGGCGAGGAACAACACAGGTGAGAATTTCTGCTTGTCTTCACCACTCGCCACAGGCTCAGCTGCTAATGCCTCACTTGGCTTGAAACCTTTCCATTTGACCAGTTTCTTTCCAGCCGTCCCACTCTTGGTAATGTATTGCCTTGCCAAACTCACCAGCTCTGTGTTCTGCTGCTTTTCTCTCCTTGATCTCCATCCCCTCATCGCAGCTTTTGCCTCAGGTGAGCTCTGTCTCTGCTTGCTTCTTCTCCCAGCTATCCGGAGCCATTTTTCCTTCTCCTTATTGCATGTTTGTGCTCTTTCTCTGCCCATTCCTTGCAGGCCCTGGAAGAGGAGCTTTTTGCCAGGCAGGACTCTATAAATTTCCTGCAGCACCAGCACAAGGAGGAGGAAGAGAAGTGCAGGAAGCTGCAGCAAAGGCTTGAGCAACTGGAGGAGGAATGCAAGACATCCAGCAGCCACAGGCAGCACCTGCAGTCTCTGGTAGAAGCACTCAGGAGGTGAGTGTTTCCTCCTCCTCCTGCGTTCTACAGGCAATCTGCTTCCAGTTCGGGGAGTTCAGAGGTGTTATGGGCAAATAACTCACCTGCCCTACCATGTGCATGCCTCTGCTTGGCACTTTAGCATCCTCTTGTGAAAGGAAACATGCTTTTCATGTTCTGTTCTGAATCCTAAGGCTGACTTGGAGATTTGGAAGATGCCTCCCTCTTCTTGCAGCTTCTCTGACTTCTGTTCTTTGGGTGCCCTTTCCTAGCCACTGCTTCTCACTGAATGAAGGCAAAAGCCTGTCTTCCATTCGCTTTCCCTCTTCAGTTACTTTATGAGGGGAAAAGCAAGTTCTTCTTTACCGTGTTCTCCACAACTCCATCCAGGAATGATGAAAATGGGATCCATGCCTCTTAAGGCCTCTCCATTCCTCTGACTGAGCCTTGTCTCTGCAGTGACTGTGCAAACCTTGAGAAAACCAGGGAAGAGCTACAGCAGCAGCTTGAAGTAACGGAGCGAGAAGCCTCGCGTCTGCGTCGAAGTAACGCTGAGCTGCAGCTGAAGGAAAATTCAGCCCAGGGGGAAAAGGTGGAGCAGCAGCAGATGATGGAGAGAGCGCGTCGTGACCAGCAGCTCCTGTGAGAGTTAAAGCTTTCTCTGGGCAGGGGTGGGCGGTGCTGGACTTTAGGAGGCCCACCAGAGAGGAATGAATTCTGCATGCTCGTCATTTGTAGCATGGAAATGAGAAGGGACTGATTCCACAGCTGACCTCAGCTGCTTTGAGCTGCAGATGGGGCTGGAGGCCTCCTGGGGTCCCTGCCAGCCTGAATAATCCTGTGATCCTGTGATGATTGGATTGGAAATTCATACACATCCCCTCTCCAGCTAGATCACAGGCTCTTTGATCATGTCACTGCTGAAGGCAAGAGTAATTGTGGGAAGAGTAATCTGGACTTAAAAAGTCTGTTTTACCCAAAGAGGAATTTTGGAAAGTCTTGTATCCAATGTATCAAAAAGGAGGGAAGAGAACTTACAGGCAGGAAACTGTTAAGTTGAGGGTACTTGAACTTTTTTTGAAACATTATGTGATTTCTGGAAACTTGTTTTACTTTCTCAATGGCAACTTTTTCACCTACATCAATGACAAAGAGCGATGCAGCTCCGGTCAGAAAATTCCAGCTTTCTTTAGGGGTAAATGGAAAGCTGTTGGAAGTCATTCAGACTGCCATAACTGGGACATAGTATGTACTCTTGGTTTTGGAAATGAGAATGATTTTGCATTATAAACTTGTTTGTCCTTTTCATAGACTAAAGGACTTAGCTGCTCTTGAAGGAAAACATTCATTGTTACAGAGTGAGTTGGTAGTCACAAGAGAGACGCTGGAGGAATCGCACCTTCAGCGAGATCTGCTGAAGCAAGAGAAACATGAGCTTACCGTGGCACTGGAGAAGGTACGGGCACCTTATTCCCAGGTGGCACTTGTGGCAGAGGGAGTTGTGATAGCAGGACCACCACAGATGCTGGTTCTGGCAGTGGAAGGCAGGGACAGTGCTGTTCTCCTTCTTGGAAAACGGTGATCAGACCACACAGGCTCTGGGGTAGCGAGTCCCCATGTGCCTCTTGGGAACACTGAAGTGGGAGCGTGTCAGAGACACACAGGGGATGTGGAGTTGCTGCTTGGTGGCAGGGATTTTCCTGCCTTTGTTTCCATGTTGCTCTTATGTCTCCTCAGGCAGAGCAGTCAGTAGCAGAGTTGACGGGCGCTCAGAGTAAGCTGAGTGCTGAAGTAGCTGATCTGCATGTTGCAACAGCGAACGTGAGCAGTATCAATGAAGCTCTTGCATTGGATAAAGTGCAACTGAACAAACTTTTGCTGCAGGTGAGCAGAGTTGCCAACGGTCTTGCCAGGTGTTTGTTTCTGCTTGTTTTCAGACCTCTTGCCTTCCAACAGGATGACTGACTGCATATGGGAATGTTCCTTTTTCTGGCTAAGCCAAACCTCCTACAGGGTAAATCTTACTGTGTTTTATTTCCTCTGTGTTTCTGTGGTTGTAGCTGGAGCAAGAGAATGAAATTCTGTCAGGTAAAGTGGATGAGATGGAAAGAGCAAAGATCTCTGACCAGGAGAAGCTGAGCTTGTGTGAAAGAAGAAATGAAGAGCTCAGTGCAGAGAAAGCCCACCTGGAGCAGCTGCTGAAGAAAGCAGAGGAGCAACAGGAGGGGCTGCGGGTGCAGCTGAGGACACTGGCAGAGGAAAAGGCAGAAACCCAAGAGAAACTCAATCAGGTGAGACCAAAGCACAACCCACTAGGGCCTTACACATCCTGTCCAGTCAACAGTCCCAGGCAGTCCTGGATATTAGTGTAGTATACAGCAGATACACACTTTCAGCCAAGGTACAGGAGCTCTTTCTCCTCCAGCTGATTCAAAAGTGGCCCTGGCTGGCTCTGCACAGAGCTCCAGAGAATGGACTCTTAACTGTATTTTGTCCTGCTTTCAGGTTTACCGGCAGCAGGAGTCAGCGAGCAGCGGTCTGGAGCAGTTGCGCCAGGAGTCCTCTCGCCAAGAGCTTGCACTGACCAAGGTGTCCAAAGAGAAGGAGGTGCTGGTGCATGAGAAGGCGGCCCTAGAGGTGCGACTGGCAGCTGTGGAGCGGGACAGACACGGCCTTTCCGAGCAGCTGGCAGAGGCCAGGTAAAGGCAGGGAGGAGACCCTGGGCAGGGCGTTACTTCGTGTCTGTAATGATAACGGTGGTAATCATTACATGAGGATTTCTTGCATCCTGTGTGCTTTTCAGATGGTTTCGTCTTCCATGGATGTAAAATGGAACAATCTCGAGCACAAAGAAAACAAAACAGCATACCATGATTTGAATATTATTTTTCTGATAGCTAAAGCTAACAAAGCTCTCCTGAGCCTTGGGCTCCTGTTTCTGTCTGTGAGCAGAGGCTGGGCTTTTGCTTGCTGGCACAGACTTTGTGGGCACAGCTACCCGTGTGTCATAGATCAGACAATAGCAACGTAACACTTGGCTACTGAGATCGAGTTCGACTGGGCTTTCTGTGTTATGCTAGATCATAAGAAAAGCCTGGAGATTCCCTTGGATGGGCCTGTGTTTCTATTTGAAATGGTAGAAATACCTTTTCTGTATACAAGTTTCCATGTAACCCATTTTCCATACTCTAGGGTAGGATCCTGAACCACTTCTTACTGGAATAACTCCCTGTGGGTGTCAGGAACTAGAAGCTCATTTCAATCCACATTCACAACTTGTAGGTCAGTGAAGGAGACCCTGGAGTCCAGCCTGTTTGAGGCACAGCAGCACTTATCTCAGCTGGAGATCGCCAGGAGTCAGCTTGAAATCCAACTTCACACAGTCACGCAGGCCAAGGAGGTGATACAAGGTGAGAGGCTCATGTGCTTAGTTTCTGGTGTTCCTCCTACGCAGCAGAGATGGTATAAAGATAGCTCACTGTCTGCAGTGCTTGTGAGGAGTGGAAGAGCTGGAGGCAGATTCCTCCTACACTGAAATTCAATTGAGCTAAGGTTAGTAAAGTCCAAACCACTGTATATGTAAACTCTGAACCTTGGCAATTGTCGTGTGTGCAGGGGAAGTGAAGTGCCTTCAATGGGAGCTGGAAGCAGAGAGATCTCTTATGAAGCAGGAACGGGAAAACATGGTACAGCAGCTCTTGCAGACAGAACAGCAGTATGACAGTACCCTCAGACTTCGGCAGACTGACCATGAAGTGGAAATAAACAAACTCCTGCAAGACCTGGTAGGAAACAATGTGCTTCTGAACCCTTCAAGCAAGGTTTGTGGGCTGACTTTAGAAGAATAACAGCCTGAGGGTGTGAAATGGCAGCAACCATCTGTCATAGGCCACACATCGCTAGTCCAAGCAGCAGAGCCGATGACTCTGAAGGTGTGTGAAGACCACAGGACTGTGCTGGGACAGCAAATGCAGCCACAGATTCAGAGTGGGCCTAAGACAAGTCCTAGAGAAGGCTGGGGGATCCCCACTCAAATCGTGGCAGCAAAGGGGGAAGGTCTTACCAGACTCTGTCTACCATGAAGTAGACTCCTCACGTTGCTGCCAACTGCAGTCATGGAGCTCTGTTCCTTTCTTTCTGTCCTTCCACAGAGGTTGACAGAGGTGTTATCTTTGGGCTTAAAGCATACAGAACAGGCCCCTTGTTCTTAATACTTCGGTTCCTGGCCTGTTTTGGGGCCAGGGCATTGGGGTACTGGCTCTTTCTTACCCTGCAGTCCATCTGAGAATGGAGTTGAGCTTTGAAAGGAGAGACTCTGAGAATAGAGAGAAATCCCGAGGCAAGAGGTTCTAGGAGACAGGCAGTCATCAGAGAGGGGAAGGTAACATCTTGTTTTCCTAATTGTTGGACTCAATGATCTTAAAGGTCTTTTCCAACCTTAATGGTTCTATGATCATTTCACCCACTGATCCTCTTTTTAAGTTCCTTGACAGGACAAGATTTATGGAGGGCACAAAGGCACTGCTCCAGTGGGGGTATGTGGGAGGGATGAAGCTTCACGTTTGTTTTTGAGGAGCTTGGCTATGACTTCATCTTGAAGTCTTCTTCTCCCCTCAGGAAAGCGAGCGGGAAGGGCACCATTCAGAGCTGCAGGAGATGCTGGAGCAATGGGAAAAGGAGAAGGCAGAGACAGAAGGGGAGCATGAGAAGAAGCTGTTTGATATGAGGCAGAAAGTGGCTGCCATGCAAGCTCAGCAAGAAGAGGAACGAACCAGAGTTGAAAATGTCAAGAAAGAGGTAAAGACTGTGAGAGGAGAACTTGTGTAGGTTTTTGCAAGGCTAGAGAGGTGGGAGAGGGCTGGATATTGGGCTGTGTTGGAGCATGTCCTACACATTTTCTACATTGAATTTGGTGAGGTGAAATGCAAGCAGGGCTAGCTCTGTGACTAGGAATGAGACTTCTCATAGGAAACCAGGCAGAAACATCACCTCTCAGCTGAGGTTTTTGTGCTGCTGTTGTGTTGTTTTTAAGACTTACCTCAGAGCATCTTCACGTTTCTCTTAAATAGCCTTAACTTCATTTGAGACCAAACTGCGTCTGTAGGACTGATTCCTGATGAGATGGGGTTTTGGTTTTGAGTGACGAGGTGTGGCAGGATTATTGACAAAAGAAAAAAAAATTAAAGACACTGTGCAGATATTTCTGAGCAGTAAAACAGGGGTCTTCTGGGCTGTGTTTTAAATCGCTTGCTGGTAAAGCACCTTTATCGTACACTGAGAATCCTCCTTGTGTTCTCCCCAAAGACCTTTTTATGCACAATGCCTAGGAGCAGCAGTACCCCCAGCTGTGTCTACAGGTATTGAAATGACAGGGCAGCACTCAGAGATGACAGTGTGTCCCTGTAATGTCAGTACTTTACCTAACTCTACTGAATACCTTCAAACTGAAGTAATTTTCACCAGACCCCACTTAGGATACTTGAGTTCTCTGAAGGAGCTGCTAACTTCAGCCCTGTGGCATTTTCTCTACTGCTAACTAAGTGCAAAAGTTGCTTTTGAAAGACAAACAAGACACAGCAGAAGACAAGGGATGATCCCTTCACCAGGAAGGTGAGACACTTGAGAAATGCCACACATTTTCCTGTTAGAGTTTAGGGGAGATTCAATCACAGACAGACGTGGATGGACGGTGTTTATAGTGCCAGTCTCACTTAGGAAGCCGTGTCTCCAGGTGGGCAGGTAGTGCTGTGGGAATGCATGAGCCTGTCGGTCTTTGAGTCTTGCCACGTAAATTTTGTAGAGGGAGCTTAAACCCATCTTCTCTTTTATTTCTGTGCAGGTCCTGCTAGAAAAGGAGCGTGAGAAGAATGCTTTATTAGAGACACTACTCCAAACTCAGGAAGAGCTGACAGAAGCCTGCCAGCAGCTCGATCAGCTCAGGCAGGAGGTGAAGGAGCAGCGAGAGAATGGGCAGGTAAGTCTGATGGGTAGGGTAGGTTGAAAAACAGAGCATTGGCAATTAGACATAAGGTGACAGAAGAGGCTGAGAGTGCCAGTAACAAAGTGAAGGGCAGTAATGAGGAAATAAAATATAAGCCCTGGGACTGAGGAGGCAAGGACTGCTGCCTCACTGAAAGCAGAGCCTGGTAAGCTGCAGAGATCAGCAACAGGAAGGAAGGGTTACAGTGGAAGCAGAGCTGGGTAGAAAAGCAGAAAGAAGTGGCTGAATGAATGTGATGTTGAGACAGAAAGAGAAAGAAGGTGGACCTGGTGGCAGGTCCCAGGAGCTTGCTCTCCATTTGTGTTTACAGAGCATCACAGAAAAGCTGCATGCAGAACTGCAGGAAACTCAGAGTAAGATCAAGGCAGTGGAGAATCGGCACAAGGAAGAAATCCAAACCATTGAAAAGGAAATGAACATCCTTCTTCAGCAGAGGGATGCTCTACAAAACGAGGTGACTCAAACAGCAATAGCTACTCCAGCCATCAAAGAGGTGGTGTCTCCCCTTCTTGCCTTTCCACTGCAGAGTAGCAGGCTCATGGGGTGATCCCTCTGCCTGCCATCATGCTGTGGTCTGAATCTCAGCTGCTGCCCTGGACAGATGGGCTGGTCCTTTTGCCTATTTGTCAGCAATCCTCAGAATGGATTTCTGCTGGTCTTGGTTTTGAAGTTGTTCTTTCTCTTTTCTCACGGTTTATGATATGGCTGATGGTGGCAAACTGAAGTCTTTGACTGCTTTGTTATGTTTTACTTGAGGTGGAAGAGTTGACATCTCAGCTGGCAGCTTCCAAAGAGTCCCAGCAAGTGATTGGCCACAAAGCTCAGCAAGAGCTGAGGGAGGCACAGGAGCTGTCAAGGCAGAAGCTGCTGGAGGCTGAGCACCTCCAGAAGATCCTGGAGGAGGAGAGGAGTCAATGGGAGGAGGTAGAACGTCAGAACAAGGAGCTGCAAGTGTGTCTGCAGTCCTTGGAGGAGGAAAGGAGTCGATGGGAAGAAGTGGAGCATCACAACACAGAATTACAGGCTTTGCTGACAGTCCTAGAGAGTGAAAAAGCCAGGTAAATGAAAGCCTGTGAGGCTCTCCATTCTGTTTTCGTATTGCAATCTGTTTCCTTGTTCCTCAAAAAATCCCAGGAGGTGTCTGGAGAGGCTCACGCAGGGTCCCTGCCAGCCTCAACAGATACAGATGTTACTGACTGTCCAAGGAGTGCAAGGAAGGAGAGAAAGGGTAGGTAGGCTACTTCACCTGGTAAAGTCCTGCCAGTCCTCAACACATCTTCATTGAAGAAGAGAAATAAAAGGCAGTGCGCTCTTGCATCCCCTATGAGGGATCCTGCATCTTATATAAGGATCTGAGTATTTCCTCCAAGCCTCCATTACCACTTTTGGTATTGGCCTTCGTTTCTCTAGCTGAAAGCAATGTGGGTGCTGGCAAGTCTTAGGAAACTCCCCAAAATTCACCTTGCTGTCAGTTGCTGCTGTTCCTACCAGGACATACAAGCTCGGGGAAGAAAATGTTGCTTCATCATTGACAAAACCTCTCCCTTGGAGCCTCATTAGAAAAATTTTCCTCTTCCCTAATATCTTAATTTCAAGATTTCATTATGTTTGTATTCACATTCCCATCTCAAAAACAGATAGGGTATTTGGCCAGTAATAACCTTTCTTCTGTGGAAGCAAACGTAGTGGCACGTGCTTGGGTGTGACTGCCAACTTGCCTTAGGACTGAACAAACAGCCTGGTTGTTCAGTCACATCTCAGCAGAGAAAGCAAATTTTTGCCCTTGGTGGTGGAAGTCCTAAGAGTTTATTAAATGTTCTACCACGTAGTGATGGGTTGTGTGCTCTCTCTTTCAGGCTGACCCTGTCTCTGGAAGAGAAAGAACTGAGCCTCGCAACCCTGGAAGAAACCAGCCTTGCCCAGCACAACAAGGTGTCTCAGCTTCTTTCTACCATTCACCAGACCCAGCAGATCCACGCAGACCACAGAAGAGAAATACAAGAGCTCAACAACCAGGTGAGCTATACACTGGCATCCTCTTCTCCAGGGACACAGAATACCACCTTCAGCTTGTAGCCCCCAACTTGTTTCCCCTCCTAACAGCATACACTCCTTCTGTATTCTGCCCAGAGACTTTGCACATTGAGGTCAAGGCTGGATCTGCTCTGTTGTGCCTATGTTCTCTCATGGTTCATGGCATTAAATCTCTGAGGAGAAACAGAAGATTCCTTTGGAGCTTCTCAGTATCTCTGTTACAAATGTTGTCCCCAGATGGTGTTTCTACCTCTGAACAACCTGGTGAAAGAGAAGTGGTTGTCACAGTCTGTGAAAGGTACTTCTATCCCAGCCAGTTCATCTGGCATTTTGGAGATGAACCTTGAAGGATGCCAACTGTCTCCCCTGTACTTCTCCTCTCAAGCACCCCTGACAGAGATGCTTGATCTGCCACCTCACCCTGCCAGCCGCCCACTCGCCCCTGCACCCCCTACACCCACCCCCCTACCCCCAGGCTTAATTTCTGAGGTTGGAAGGCATGAAAGCCTGACAGTTCAACCACTGCTTTGGGGCTGGGGAAACTTCCTCTTGCCCCCTTAGACTCCATACCCCTGTTTTTAGCTTATTTTGCTCAGTTTGAACCCTTGACTTTGTGCCTTCTGTTTCCAGCGTGTTTCTTACCTGAAGTAATTTCTCCTTCATTCCTTCCTTTACTTCCCTCTCTGCTGCCGCAGTGGCAGCACAATCCCTGCGGTTTTTTTGCACCTGTGTTACAGATACAGTCACTGCAGGAAGCAGTGCTGGAGAAGGAAGCTGGCCTGGCAACTCGAGAGAAGCAGCTACTACAGGACCTGGAGGAGTCCCGAGCAGGGGAACAGTGCTTGAGGGACTCTTTGAGTGTGCTGGAGGCTGAGATGTCTGAACTGCGTCTGAGGCTTTGTAGCACAGAGAACAGAGCGATGGCATTGGCTGCAGAGCATCAGGAGGCTGACAGTGCCCGCTGTGAAACCCAGTCTGAGCTGGACAGACTGCGTTTGGTTCTCCACCACATGATCTGTGACAGCAGAGACTTGGTCGCTTGGAGTTCAGGCAAGTGTGGGAGGCTGCATTAACGTCTATAGAGCACCTAGAGGAGAGCAGATGGAGGGAGGGGTGGTTCTTTGTAATCCCAGTATGATAGACTCATCTTTTCAGTTTAGGCTGACACAAGCCATGGGAAATCTTGAGTGCCTGACATCCCTGCAAACAGACCCATGCCTGCAAACATCCCATGTTTGTATGTGGAGAAGTGACCAGCATCAAAGTTAAATAGGGCCCAAGTTGTGTCAAGCCACAGGGCATGTGTGTTCTTCCTCGGGGCAGCGCTGACATCAGTGGTCATCAAAATAGCGTTAGTCTGTGCTGCATGTCTTGCTGTAATGGGAGTTCTAGGACAATGTCAAAGGCACTGCCACCTTCTCCTGGGTACAAAGAGGCTTTGTTCGTTGGAGACCCGTCAATTAAAACTTGAAACAGAATGGCTTCTCTCTTCAGAACAGGGTGATGTCTGGGGCCTGACTGTTTCTCAGGCCAGGGACCTCCCTGCAGAGCTCACGGTGGACAGAGTGGCAGCAGCCCTACAAGACGTGCATCAGCACCTGAAGCAGACTCGGCAAGATCTGGTAACGTATGTCTAGAGCACCCAGAAATCCTCTCCCTCTGCTGGACTGAACTGACGAGCAGAGTGCCAAAGCCAGAGCAGGTGTAAATTTGTGTAGGCTAGGTTGGCTCACTGCATGGGGAGAACGGAGAATCATGACCATGTCTGCCTTTACTGTCCAACTGCCTCCTCCTGCCTTGGCTCTTTCTGCCTTAGTGTTTGTACCAGTTTGTCTCCTGCCAGCAGTGGCTCTGTGAGCTAAAACATCTTACCTCTTCCAGAATGATGCGAAGAAGAAGATACAGGATTTGGAGGTGGAGCTGAGCAAGAGGCAAGCTGAGAGGGACCATTTCAGCACCCGCAGTCAAGAGCTGCAGAAACAGTTGACTCAAAGCCAGGAAGGTACAGCTTCTCCTTTCCAGCCCCCTTCAGGGCTATTTACCTCTCTATATCATAGCTGGACAGGCATCCCTGATCCTTTCTCTGACATTATTTTCCCACTCTCCACATCAGAACTGCTTTTTCACTTCATTGTCTTTTCCTTGTCTCAGACTAGAGGAGCAGGGAAGTGTGGGCATTGCTCATTGCCTCCCCCACAGGCTGTCGCCTGCTTATGTAGTGAAAATTATGTTTTCTCTGTGGGATGCAAATCGGGTTGGGTTGGTCAGGGCTATTTACCTCTCTATATCATAGCTGGACAGGCATCCCTGATCCTTTCTCTGACATTATTTTCCCACTCTCCACATCAGAACTGCTTTTTCACTTCATTGTCTTTTCCTTGTCTCAGACTAGAGGAGCAGGGAAGTGTGGGCATTGCTCATTGCCTCCCCCACAGGCTGTTACCTGCTTATGTAGTGAAAATATGTTTTCTCTGTGGGATGCAAATTGGTTTGGGTTGGCTTTACTTTTCACCTTCCCCTTCACCTTCACTGCTGCAGAGACACAGATGGCAGAACACAAGAGGAGCTCTCTACAAGCTGCCTTGCAGGAAGAGGCCACTGCTCTAAAGGAGGAGGCTCTGACCCTGCGTCAGGAGGTGGCGTCTTTGCAGAGGAAACTTGAAAGCACAGAGAAGCAAAGAGAGGACGTCCTGGTGAGGCTGGCAGATGCCATAAAGGGCCATTTCTGACATACTTTTTGACCTTATGTTAATAATTCTAAGGAGTAACTTTTTCCAGTGGAGAGCTGGTTTTGGGTGGTCTTGTACAGATTCGCTCCAGATCTGAGCAGATACAGAGTACTCAAATGCTGACCAAGTTTCCCTCATTTTCCCCTTCCTTCCACTCATCATTCCTTGTTTTCCAGGCACTTGCTTTACTGCCAGACCATGCAGCTGAATTAGCAGGGTCATTACCTTGGGTAAGAGAAGGCAGTCCAGAAAGAAGAGATGGCTAAGCTGACTGATACCACAGGCTCTGTGGAGAGACCACTGCAGGAGCACAACATTATTTATACCAGTCGTTCTTTTTTGATTTAACTTTTCCAGATGCATTCTTCTGAATCAATAGGAAAAGATGCCGTAGTCATGTAAAACTCAGTTATGATTCAGGGTGCTTATTTTCCTCAGTTCTGAAGATTTCTGCCCTCGAAGCTTTAGTCAAAGTAATTTTCGAACTTGTCTCTGTGTACATTGCATGGTTTGGGCAATTACTTACGTCCAAATCCATATTTAGATTTCTTATATCCAGATATACCTGGATCTGTAAAAAAAAGGTGAGAAGACAGTAATTGGGGTCAGGAGGAGACGGTGAACATTCCCACAAGCTGGAACAGTGATGGGATTGAGGAGGGGAGGTGTCACATAAGTCTACCCCACTCTTAGGCTTTCTTCCCTGGGTATGCACTCACAGGCACTGTCACGTACAGGACACCAGCCGAGACGTTGGAGCCAGTGCAGCTGCTCTTACATGAGCAATATTTTCCCACTTTTTAATTTACAATGACTGCAAAAATTGGTCAGAGTTTGATAAACACAGTACAGCTCTCAAATCTTTTTTGAGTGACAGTAGAAAATTTGCATTTAACAGGAAAACTAACTGAATAGCTCAGATTTTCTTCTGAAAGCTCAAACTTGAGCCCTTGACTGCCACTGGAGCAGGAGTTCAAATCTCGTATGAAAACATACACAGATGGAATTATTGATGCTTTTCCTCCCTGTTTTGCAGCATGAACTGGACAGACTACAAGCAGTTAAAGAAAAACTGGTATGGGAGATAAAACTTCTTCAGGAATCAGTCACAGCCTCTGAAACCCGAGCAAATACAGCAACAGAAATTAATTACTCCCTTGAACAAGAACTCCAAACTACACTGTGTGTCTTAAAAGTTAAAAATGAGGAAGTAGAAATGCAGTGGGAGAAGATTCAGATGCTACAGAAGGAGGCAGCAGAGGTAAAAGCTTTGCAGGAGAATCTCGCTCATATGACTGCCATCCTCTCAGAGAGGGAGGGAGAGATGAAGCTGTACCAGGAACAGATGAGAAAGCTGGAAAACCAGAAAGAAATGCACAAAACTGCTCTTGATCGAGTTATTACGGACATAAGTGAGAAAAAGCAGAAAACTGAATCCCAGCAAGAACTCATACAGGAGCTGGAGAAGCAGCAAGAAAAACAAAGGATTGCTGTAAGCAAAATGAGCAAAGAGCTGGAGGAGAGAGAGCGGGAGATCAGATCCCAGCAAGAACAGATACAGGAGCTGGAGAAGCAGCAAGAAAAACAAAGGATTGCTGTAAGCAAAATGAGCAAAGAGCTGGAGGAGAGGAACCAGGAGATCAAATACCAGCAAGAACTGATAGCAGACATGGAGAATCAGCGAGAAATGCAGAGGACTGCTGTGAGCAAGATTAGCAAAGAGCTGGAGGAGAGGAACCAAGAGATCAGATCCCAGCGAGAAGAAATACAGGAGCTGGAGAAGCAGCAAGAAAAACAAAGGATTGCTGTAAGCAAAATGAGTGAAGAGCTGGAGGAGAGAGACCAGGAGATCAGGTGCCAGCAAGAACAAATACGGGACCTGGAGAAGCAGCGAGAAATGCAGAGGACTGCTGTTAGCAAAGATCTGGAGGAGAGGAACCAGGAGATCAGATCCCAGCGAGAAGAAATACAGAAGCTGGAGAAGCAGCAAGAAATGCAAAGGACTGCAGTGAGCAAGATGAGCAGAGAGTCAGAAGAGAGGGACCAGGAGATCAAATACCAGCAAGTACTGATAGCAAACATGGAGAAGCAGCGAGAAATGCAGAAGACTGCTATCAGCAAGATGAGCAAAGAGCTGGAGGAGAGGAACCAGGAGATCAGATCCCAGCGAGAAGAAATACAGGAGTTGGAGAAGCAGCAAGAAAAACAAAGCATTACTGTAAGCAAAATGAACAAAGATCTGGAGGAGAGAGAGCGGGAGATCAGATCCCAGCGAGAAGAAATACAGGAGTTGGAGAAGCAGCAAGAAAAACAAAGCATTACTGTAAGCAAAATGAACAAAGATCTGGAGGAGAGAGAGCGGGAGATCAGATCCCAGCGAGAAGAAATACAGGAGTTGGAGAAGCAGCAAGAAAAACAAAGCATTACTGTAAGCAAAATGAACAAAGATCTGGAGGAGAGAGAGCGGGAGATCAGATCCCAGCGAGAAGAAATACAGGAGTTGGAGAAGCAGCAAGAAAAACAAAGCATTACTGTAAGCAAAATGAACAAAGATCTGGAGGAGAGAGAGCGGGAGATCAGATCCCAGCGAGAAGAAATACAGGAGTTGGAGAAGCAGCAAGAAAAACAAAGCATTACTGTAAGCAAAATGAACAAAGATCTGGAGGAGAGAGAGCGGGAGATCAGATCCCAGCGAGAAGAAATACAGGAGTTGGAGAAGCAGCAAGAAAAACAAAGCATTACTGTAAGCAAAATGAACAAAGATCTGGAGGAGAGAGAGCGGGAGATCAGATCCC